TTCAAAGGAAAAAAAAAGATTTATTTTGAAAATAGAAAAGGGAAATGCAAATGGCTCCAAGAAATGCATATTAGAAGGACAAAGTTAATTTTGTTAGAATATAAATGTTTAGGTCAAAAATTTGTAGCCTTGGGCAAATGGGAAAAAATGGACTAGTTGTCTATATTAGAAATTTATCACAGAATCCGAAAAAACAAGCTCAACATGAGGGAAGAAGATTTTTACTATTAAAAGTTCAAACTGAACATGGAAAAGTAACAATTGCTTCAATTTATGCTCCAAATGATAATAAAACAAAATTATATGATTTTTTTTTCCAATCATTTTTTGGAATTGGAGAGGGAGGTATTTTGATTCTTGGAGATATGAATGGGTCTTCCCCAAATCCTGACAAATCTGCTTCATATAAACTCAAAAATGTTTCAGAATACATAACATTACAGGTAGTCCTCACTTAATGACCATTCATTTAGCTACTGTTCAAAGTTATGATGGCGTTGAAAAAAGCTACTCACGACGGATCCCTGCACTTACAACCGTCGCAGCACCCTTGTGATCGTGTGATTGCCATTTACTACCTTTCCAGCCAGTTTCTGGCAAGCAAAATCAATTGGGAACCATGTGATTTGCTTAACGGACGCATGATTTGCTTAACGACCGTGGTGATTCACTTAACGACTACTGCAAAAAAAGTCACAAAATCGGGTGCAGTTACATGATGCCTCGCTTAATGACCGCCCTGCTCAATGACAAATTTTCCAGTCCTTATTGTGGCCGTAAACCGAGGACTACCTATACTCTCTTTTTCAGACATAAAGAGACATAAATACCCTCTAGAGAAAGAATATACTTATTGTTCTTCTGTTCACAAAACTTGCTTAAGAATAGACATGTGTTGGATGTCCAATTCATTATTAACCAAACTTAAAGGTATGAAAACTGCAGCTGTTACTTATGCAGATCGTACCCCCAAAATTATAAGAATGCACAGAAAAACATGTTTCTTTGTCCATGATATGAGATTCTAGAAAAGACTTTACAGGAGGTGTGTTTATTTCTTTGGCTATTTATTTATTATTTATTCTATTTATCTAATACAAAGAAAATCATACAAAAGCCAAAGTATATATTAATGAATGAATGGATTGAAGCAATTAAAATCAAGACATAAGCAAAACCCAATCTTGGATTTAGAGAAAAAGATTAAAGTGAATGTTAATTAACTGGATTTAATAGAAGTAAAAGCAACAAGAAGTTAAATTTTGCTAGAGAAATACTTTGAGGGGTGTAGGCCTATCAACTGTGAAACGACAAAAGGAAACAATTATTGCTTCCATTTAGATGTCAGGATCATGTGTCAACCTCACAGGACAAAGCAATATGTTAATGTGTTAAATATTCTTGATTATCAAGCAACTGACCCAGGTAATGAGTGAGATACAATGAAGTTAAGTAATTCCTTCTTCATGGCAAAAGAGGGGAATTATCCAATTCATCCAAAGTCATATAGGCCTATCACTCTATATTCAATATAGAGAGATTACAAAGGTTTTACAACATTTGCAAAGAGATTAAATGGACTTTAAACTAATTTAATGCATCCTGATCAGACTGGATTTGCCCCCAAAAGATATACAGGGGTTAATATGAGATTTGAATATCACTAATAGTATAAATCAAAAACAAGAAAGTATCTATTATTTTTCTTGACACAGGGAAAGCCTCTATTTGGAATGGTCTTTCATATTCCCAACACTTAAGATGAATGCAGTTCCAATTTTCTCACATGAATACAGAGCATTTATAAGAAACAAGAAACCAAGGTAATAGCAAATGGACTTTTATCATAAAAATGAATTATAAGGAAGGGGACAAAGCAAAGTTGCCTCCCTCTTCTGTTTTTTATTTCTACTGCCATTCAAACCCTTGGCAAGGAAGATATGACAAGAAAATAAAATTTCAGGAATTAAATAGGCAAATGAAGAACATTAATTAAAAATATATGCTGATGATGCTCTACTAAAGAATTACCCATCCAAGGAATTCCCTAGAATCAATAATGAAACATATATAGCAATATGGTGGAGTATCAGGATGTTGGATTAATAAGAACAAGACTCAAATGATCACATGGAATTTATTTGAAGAAAAAAAGCAGTATCTGCACAAATAACAGAGCTTAATATCACTGCTAAATGATCAGGTACTTGCAAACTTACCTAACAAAAAGCAATACAGATTTATAATTACTTGCAGTATTAGAAGAAAATAACAGATATTTCAAGATGGAGAAAGTTAGATTTGTCCTGGTTAGGAAGAATATTAGCAGTAAAAATGAGTATTTTATCAAAGTGTAATTGTATATTTCAAATGATTCCAATTAGAATTGAATATATTATATTGTAGGGAGTCAGAGAAATGATCTTGAGGGAAAAAGGCAAGAACTGTTACATACTAATTCCTGGGAAGCAAGATAGTATCCGGAAGAGACTTAGGCAGGCTCCTCCCTGATTTGCTAGGGTATAAGAAAGAGGGGAGGCAAAGCACAATCAGGTTTTCAAGATTCTGTTATTGTAGCATATCCCAAAAAAGTATAGCTATAATCTTCCTATGGAGTTGGCTTCCTGATGTGATCTACCTTGTAAGACTTGACATATATTAAATGAGTGGCAGAGGCAAATAACTGATTTTATATGGTCAAATAAAGATCAAGAATCACAATTTTATAAGATGTGAAAGAATGGAGTGTATTAGGAATACCAAATTTTAAACTGTATTATCAAGCCAGCTGTATAATTTGGATTGCAGAATTGATTGTATCATCTTATGGCTGGGTTATTTCTACTGAGAGAGCAGAACTCCTACATGATTTGCAAACATATCTTTGGCTGGATACAAACAGACATGCAAAACATACAAAGGAATACTCAAACATAAACGGAGTATTAAAATAATGGAATAAACATAGAAAAAGAATTAGCCCAGACTTACTACCCTTCACTTCAATATTTATTTTCACAAAGATGAATGTACAAAAAATATGATTGTGTGTGTGTGTGTGTGCGCGCGATAGATTGCAATAGTTATTCTTAATAAAATAAAAATGAAATCTTTCAAGGCTGTTTCTTTAGAGTGGTTGGAGTTACCTCCCTGGTTTTAATATCTTGAAAAAAGCAGTATAGTCCAAAAGAAAACAAGGCAGAATACTTAGAGATTTGACTAAATTAAAAAGATAAACTTCATAATACTTACAAGACGTACAAACAAGTTATTAAAATACCATTCAGAAACTTAACAAGTTAAAAGACTATATGATTAAATGGATGCAGAATCTAAATTGATAAAGGAAAATTGATATTCAACAATGGGAATATCAATGGAAGACAAATGTAAAATTTACCATGAATATCAGACAAAATGGGTAGAAGGTGTTTTACCGTTGGAAACTTATTCCAGTGCTGATTTGCCAAAATAGATGTAATTCACTTTCTAAAAACTGCTGGAAATTCAATAATCAGGTCAGATCATTTTTTCAAATCAATGGCATTGTTATTAAGTTCAAGAATCCTGAACATTATTTATTAGGGAATGAAATAAATCTTAAAGGTGGAATTGTCTTTTCTGTCAGCTGTGGGAATATACATCGATGTAAACAAGAAATTTGTACTTGAAAAATAAATCTGATGGAAATATGACAACATGATTATGCACATTTGTATTTGTAACCCGCTTTGACTCGCTGTTCAATGTTTGGTAAGATTTTTTAAGAATAAAAAAGCTAAAGAAAAAAAGAAAAAAGAAAAATAAATCTGATGGAAATATGACAACATGATTATGCACATTTGTATTTGTAACCCGCTTTGACTCGCTGTTCAATGTTTGGTAAGATTTTTTAAGAATAAAAAAGCTAAAGAAAAAAAGAAAAAAGAAAAATAAATCTGATGGAAATATGACAACATGATTATGCACATTTGTATTTGTAACCCGCTTTGACTCGCTGTTCAATGTTTGGTAAGATTTTTTAAGAATAAAAAAGCTAAAGAAAAAAAGAAAAAAGAAAAATAAATCTGATGTAGAATTTAATTCAACTTGGAAACCATTCATGAATTAAAGTCTACATATGGACTTGTACCATATCTAAAGCCATCTGAAGTTTGGGTTTCTCTTAAGGTTTTAATATATTAATTCTTGTATATAAGGATAGAACTTTTTGGATGAGATAGAAACTCTGGCTAATTGTTAATTTTGACCTATAATTTGACTATCTACTTTTATTAATTATTAAATATTATTTTAATGTAATTTTGTTCTCTTTTATATGCAGCACTAATCTAATGTTACTCTGACATTTTTACTCGGTTTTACACAGCTTACAATTTTTTTTATTTTCCTTTTGTCTTATTTCTTTTCTGAGCTTTTTTTGGGGGGGGCTCTGGATTGTGTTTTTAAATATCTTTCTTTTTTTTAAAGTATATGGCAGGTGCAAAAGCATGAAAGATATAAGCAGGTATGAGAGGGAGTACCGTATATGTAGAATGGTAGGTAGCATCCTGGTAAACTGGTACTTTGAAATGTTTTTTTTCTTCAGTAGCCATTCTGCAACATAGTTGTTAAGAGACAGTTCTCATACAGTCAGAGGAAAATGACTTGGTATCAAATCTGTCCATTGCCCAAAACAAGACACAGATGGAACTCTAGCCTTGTGCCCAAAAGAGAGTGCTCTCTAGCCTATTGCATAGCTCAGGCAAAAGGAAGAGGCACAGAAATAAAAACTTTGATTTCACTATAGGAATGACTTACTTTTGATACATAATGGTTGCTGGAATTCTTTTGTAAGGCTTCTTAGGATTTTTTTCTTTTTTTACAGTAAATTACTTGCTCAGCCTTGGCAGGGTGATACCTGACAAAGGCTCACACACCCGGTTCTCCAACTTCCAAATGTCTCCACCAGATCAAAAAGTCTGTGAATCCCCGGAGTAAGCCAAAAATGTGCATCTTACCCCTGTTGCCTGTAGATGTTGCCTAAATTCATCCATTGTTGTGTTTGAGATGCTCATGTCCCTGAACATTCCTTCCAATTTTGATGTGAACTGACATCCACATTCAGTCTGCAAAAGGAAGTTATTTATAGCATGATTTTAAATTAAAAAAAAGCATCTTCAGGCTGGCTATTTAGAATTACAGTACAAATATTTAAGTACTTTTCCTCTATAAATAAGAACATTATGAAAAAATACCTCATTCTATTTGGTTCCAAGCACTAATAAAGCAGCAGTAAACATCAACAAGTAATGATGCTAATTTATACCTTTCGACTGTCAAGAGATCTAATTACTCTAATAAAGTTTACTGAAAATAAGAATTTACCATCCCAATCTTTTAAAATTCAACATGGAATAGAGAATGGCAATATTCCCATTAAATCTCTCTAAATCATTAATTTTCTTAGACCTCTCAAAGCATAGATCATCCTTATATATCATTGCAAATTCATATTCATTCAAGCACGTGCTAAAAGTAGGAATGTAAAACTTTGTGGTTTGGGGGATTGGATGGGAATTTTGCCTTCCAGGAGGACTGTTTTTAGGAACCACTAACTTACAGAATCAATCCATCTGCTTCTTCCAAGCAGGACGAAAAAAAAATCATATTCTATGAATAAGGAAGATACTTGCAGCTTGAAGAAAAATACCTTCCCTATCCACTAGGACTTTCTCAGTAGTCTACAATGACAACTCTTGCATGATTTCCCAGATTGCAGCATAAGTGCATACTCAAAGTTCATAGGAAGCAATATCTTAATTATTCGAGCTTCAGATTTTAAAAATAGCATTGATGCTTTTGATTTATATTCTGCATTTCTACTGGAACTCAAGCTGAGATAGCCCACAATAGTCCTATGAGGTAATCTGAGCTGAGAGACTGTGACTGGCACTACATCACATTGAGATTCCATGGCTGAAAATGGATTTGAACTTGGGTCCTCAGACTTAGTCCAACTTTTTAACCACTATACTATACTGACTTAATAATTCTTTGCTGACAAAAACAAAATGTTTGAACAAAATATAGCTGCTTAACATTGTATAACATTTACAATTAATTGAAAGAATTGATTACATTGCAATTTGTCCCATTGAATAAACATTGGCATAAAACTAAAGCTAAGTGGAAAAGTCACTAAGAAATAGTTATAGAGACTGATCTTACCTTTAGCTTAGATATCATATTTTTCTCTGAGTCATCTGAAACGCTTTTGTTTGTCAGAAGCCTCCTTGCTAAGTGCTGCTTATAGTATCGTTCAAATACATCTTTTTCTTGCATAAATCTAAACAAAACCATTGCCTTGTCCAATATAGTCTCTACTTCTTGCTCAGTTAGCTATAAAGAGAAAAGCATTAGTCAATTTATTAATTAATAGTTAAAATAGTCAAAACTATGACTTTTATAGAAAATATTTCTCAAAAATAAATTATTTTATTATTTAAAATAAATGCTGTTAATTTAGGCAGGATTTGAAAAACTAGGAATATTTTATCTGACCCATTCTTGACCTGAACAAAACAAAAACAAAACTCAAACCACTATAAATGCTTGTGTGCAACATTTATAACAAAAAAGTTCACCTTAATGAAATAAAGTTACTTAATATTTTAGTCTTGAATCTTTAAAAGTGACAGCTTAAACAACCATGTTGCCACAAGTAATTGGGTCTCGTTCCATGAAGGGCTTTATAGGTAAGGACCAGCACCTTGAATTGTATCTAGAAGCAAACTGGCAACCAGTGCAGCTCACAAAGAAGTGCATACTGAGGTATGCCAATAACTATTCATGCCTCTGCATTTTGGACCAGCTGAAGTTTCCAAGTAGTCACTAAGGGCAGCTTCAGGTAGAGTGGATTGTATTAATCCAATCATGAGGTGACTGTGGCAGGAATGACTGTGAGCTGGGACTCCCAATTCAAGAGATGCAACTGGTGCACAAGGTAAAGCTGTAGAAAGACCTTGGAGCCACAGCTGCCACCCGCTCTTCAAGCAGGAGCCATGACTCTAGGAGGACCCTTAAAATGTGCACTGGATCTGTTTGCAGCAGTGCTATCCCATCTAGAACCAAAGATACAAAATCTCCAGACCTTCGGGATTCCAAAATCCACAGCCATTCTTACAAGGGATGAGTCTGAGCCTCTTCTCCCCATCTAGACCCCCACAGCTCCCAAATGCCAAAACAGAACCTCAATGGCATCACTTGGAGGGTCTGGATTTGAGATGTACAACTGAGTCTCATCAGCATATTGATGACATCTAACTCGGTGCCAATGGATGACCTCACCCAGAAGTCTCACATAATTGTTAAACAGGAGCAGGGAGAGAACCAAACCCCTGAGGCACTCTGCAAAGCAATGGCTAGATCTCTGCCCCCCATCAACAGTGACCTAAACTGGCTCTGGAGGAAGGAGAACCACCACACCTCCCATTCCTAACCCGTGCGACAAGCATGATCAATATTGTCTTTGTACTGTGCTCAGGTCTGAAAGCTGGCAGAAAGGAATCTAGATAATGTAATTCCTTCAAAATGGGTGATAGCAAAGAGAAAGACATACAGGATGGAATAACTGAAAGACAAAAGTATCTTTCAAAATCTGTTAATTTTTGGCTCAGATACTGCCCACAATTGGCTGAGAGCTCATAACCAATCTTTCTTGTGTAAGGAAAATGTTCTCCATGCCTAGCTTAGTACCTATATATGATTTTGGTATGAGCATATTATTAACTTTTATTAGTAGTTTTCTATGTACATACCTAATTCTGACAAAGAAATGCAGGTATGGAGGCCTATACTCACTATTTAAAGATGGTTTAACAATATATACACATATGCAGTGTCTTTTGCAGAGGTTTACATCTGCAAAAGATGTAATAAAAGAAATTTATTCATTCTTTATTTTCTAAAAAAAAATCCACATCCTTATTGCTTACAAAGTTGTACAATATTTTTTTTCATATTTACAGAGCTTGTACATTCATCTGCAGTGTTTATTATTGCACTATATTAATAAATTAGCACAAAGAAATACATGTTTTTGCAGCTGTTTTGTCAGAAAAACTGCATAGTTATTAAAGAAAGTATACTTACTCCCTTGACTCCTTTTTTTAGCTTGTCATCAATAAATAACGAGAGATACTCTGGAGATCTAGAGTTGAGGTTAAGGAAATACTCAAAATCACCCGCAATAGTTTGTTTGAAGAGCCTGTCATTATTAAAAGATTCTTGAAGGAAGCGGTCAAACCTACTCTTCAAATCCAGTAAGCCCTTAGAACAACAAAGCATATTATTTTTTAGATTTCTACTATATTTTACATGAAAATCACAGTCACTATTATTTTTGGAAGTTATAGGACTGGTAACTTTAATTGTCATCAAGAATCCCGTAACTTGGATGCTGAGGTTTCCCTAGCTGTTATTCCCTAGCACCATCTTATACTCCCATAGATATATTGCCCTTGCAGTACCATAATAAAACAGAGTAAGGCTGGATGAGTATCTTTAAGAAAATGTGTGTTCTTCTATGACTCTTCTGGGGATAATGACTTGGGATTCATTCTCCTGAACTAAGCCTCCATGCTGGTATCGACAATCACAATTATTCAGCTGGATTTTTGAATGGGATTCCCTTGGCTCCAGTGAAACCATCATTTGACTAATACCAGATAGGGCTAAATTATGTGACTTATTTTTGTAGAAAACAATGCAGGATCTTGTCTGGAAATATTATATTTAAGGATATCTCTAAAATTCTATCTTCTGGAGAAGATTATGTGAATCAGATATACTTCTGATTTAGCATTTACCCAAAAGGCAGCCATGGTGATGTGTACAATATTGGAAGATAAAAATCTAGCCTGAAGCTAAGAAGGTATTTTCAAATGAAAACTGTAAAGGAGATGTATTATAAAGTGCTGCTGATTTAAATCAGCTCCCTTAACAAAGAAGGCTGCATCGTCCCCTTGTCTTCTGTGTATACTATAATATTTTATAAAGATCGAAATATTAATTGCAATAGCTTCCCAAATGATACCTTAAAGTGAAAATGAGAGAGATGGCAATCCCTAATACTGCATACCCTAAGGCAATAGACGCCTATGCTTATTGCTATTGGTCCAGAAACGTGCTTCTCTTCCTGGGAAAAGAGGCCTCCTGAAAAGCCTGGTTTGTTTCTCAAGAAAAAAAGCATTTCACTGACACAGACAGTGGTCAAAAGGAGCTTTCATCCACTTGACAAACTGGGTAGAAATTCTGGCTAGGAAAACAGTTAAATTCCTCATAACTCTAACCATCCCTGGAGAAACAAACACAGACTTATTGAGGACCCATAACTATTGACCAAGTATAATAAATTCAGCATCCTCATTTACTATCACTTCAGAGAGTCTGAACTGAGAATCTGGTCAGTTATGTTCTTCAGAGTGAGACTTTCACAAACTAACTTAGAGAAAGATTTCAGAGGGAAGAAAATGGGAGCTACATAGAGTACTTTTTACTGGAGCATTTGTGCACCTATGCACAATAGCATGAACCATATTAAGATTGCCCATCTCTGTTTTTAGTCATGAAAAAGCCTAGCTTATCTCATACAAAAAAAATTAGCTAGTTTGAGAACTTAATGAAGAGTATTAAAATGTAAATACATTTTTAAATTTCAGGGGAAAAAATTAGTCTTAATACTTTCTCTTCACTTATCTCTACCATGAAACATTATAGAATTTGAATTATGTAAGTACACTTCTGCTAAAGGAAATATTTTCATCATAAGAAAAAAAAAGAGTGGTTTAAAGACTTTGGCTACCTGAATATAGTCCACTGGGTTCTTTCCTTCACCTTCTTCAGATACAAGGGCTTTACCTTGCTCCCTCAAATAGGTACTCATACATTCACACATTGTCTTTAGACCATTTGGGACACGGCTAAATAATTTGTACATACAAGCAAGATCTACAATAGAAATATACATAAATATTTATACTGACATCTACTACTAATATATTTCTAGCATTACACAGCAGATAAGCAAAACAAGATATTTTTGAAGTTTCATTAAATTTTCCAATTTTGTTAAATTCATCTCATGCCTTCATCCCGTCGTGGAATACAGACATGCTATCTCAATACTGAATACCATAGTGGTCTTTGACTCCTTCTACACCAAAGAATATTTTGGTTCACAACACGAAACATCTGTTGGGTGAAAACTGAAACACACAGTTACAATCTCATTGAATGCTACTAACAATATTAAGTACAGCATAATTTTTGTTGCAGGAAACAAACCAAATTGGAATTCTATTTAATTAACATACTTTGCTGATTAATTCCTAAATAAACCTTTACACTGAATATGAGGTGCTGCAATATAATCTCCAGGTTTCAAAGGAAGAAGTAATACTGAATTCAAACAAGATAGAGTTGTTATTCATTCCAGGAACTGGACTTCAGGATTTAGGAAATATACCTTTCTGGATAGGATGAAGGAGCAGGTTTACATTTTATCAGTTTTGGCTGATAAGCCAGGTATATCTCTACCTACAGAAGAGACAGCGGGTTCAGTGACTTATATGCTGGTGACTCATAACCTCAAGGTTAGAATCTTGCATTGTGCTCTTAATGGAATGGCCCATGAATGCACTCTAGAAATTGCAGCTGCCCTGAAAGTATTGCCTGTTTTAAGACATTAGCTCCCCAAAAACGTTAGTGGTTTCAAATCATCTTCTAAGTTCAATTTAAGGTGTATACAGCCTTACAAGTTGAAAGACTATGCTAGTTACAGGACCATTCAGTCCTGTATTGTCCTTCTTACATTCTAAAATCATTAAAGAGGTACTTGTTTTAAGTTCTGCTACAAGTATGTTAGACATCAAAGATCAATTATGCTTTCCCTGTGACAGGGTCCATATTATCCACAAAACTACTACTGGAGTTCAGTGAAATCCCCCTTTTATTACACTTTAGGAGGGGCTCAAAACATTTTTATCTACCTAGGTTTTTTAACATTCCTGCTTTAAATTTATCATGCTTTCAATTTGGGATGTGCCAAAACTATCATTTCAGGAACAAAAGGTTCCAGAAAACTCCAGAATATTCTATTTCACCTCTGGACCACACTGATGCATGGACAAATTGCTTCCAATTCTGAAGGTTTACTTGCAGAAAACCATATCTGGAACAGATGGATTGCCATGATCTAGTGAAAAACAGGATGTTCCACTGCTGTTCTCTGAAATCTTCCTTTGCTGGGATGGTAGATTTTACACATAGTTACTTTTATCATTATGGATGCTTTTAGAGTATGTTTGTAAGACAGAGCTATTGACGGATTACATGCCATCAAGTTGTTGTCAACTCTTAGTGACCACATAGATAGATCTTCTCCATGACGATCTGTCCCTAACTTGCTCTTTCAGCTCTTTCAACAGTGCACTCATCACCACTGTAACTGGGTCCATCCACCTTGCTGCTGGTTGTCCTCTTTTCTTTCCCAGAATTAGACCCTTCTCCAGAGAGCTAGGTCTTCCCACAATGTGTCCAAAGTAGAGTAATTTGAACTTTGCTACTTATGCCTTGAGTGAGAACTCTGGGTTGATTTGTTTAATGCCCTGTTTGTTTTCTTGGCTGTCCATGGTATTCTCAGAAGTCTTCTCCAACACCAAAGTTCAGAAGTGTCAATACTCTTCCTATCCTGTTTCTTCAAAGTCCAACTTTTGCTTTCATAGAGTGTCACAGGGAATACCATAACTTGCAATATTCTGATCTTTGTAGGTACAGTCACATCACAACATTTGAATATCTTTTCTAAGGCTTTCTTGGCTGCCCTACCAAGTGCTAGTCTGTGGTGCATTTCTTGACTGCTTGCTTCTTTACTGTTGATGGTTGACTATAAAAGGCAGAAGGTATCCACCACTTCAATCTCTTCACGGTCAATTCTAAGGCTGGTTGTTCTACCTGTTGTCATTACTTTGGTCTTTTTTATATTTAATTTTAGTCCCATTTTTTCACTGTGCTCCTTGACTTTTATTACCAGAGCTTGCAAATCTTTTGCATTTTTGGCTATCAAGGAAGTATCATCAGCATAGCACAGGTTATTGGTGTTTCTTCTGCCAATTTTAAAATCACACTTTTCTTCCAATCCAGCTTCCCTTAACATATATTCAAGTTGAATAAATAAAGGGAGAGTAGTACAGCCTTCCTGCACTCCTTTGCCAACCATTGGAGTTGGGTGGCTAATAAATTTGAACAAATAAATAAAAATGAAATGTAAAAAACTGGAGTCAGTCTTTTTCACCATGTTCTGTCCATACCATAGCTTCCTGGCTTATATTTAAGTTACTTATGAGAACAATGGGATGTTCTGGGATTCCAATTTTTCTGAACGCATTCGAGAGTTTGATGTGATTAACACAAACAAAGGCCTTTCTATAATAAATGAAGCACATAGTGACTTTTTTTTTTTTTGGTATTCTTTGGCTTTCTCAATTATCCAGCATGAATCAGCAATTATGTTTCATATTCCTCAGCCTCTTCTAAAGCCAACTTGAACATCTGGCATCTCTTCTTCCATGTAGGGCTCTAATCTGCATTGGATGATCCTAAGCATGATTTTGCTAGCATGTGAAATTAATGATATTGTATGGTAGTTTGCACATTCTGTTAAGTCTCTCTCTTTTTGGAATGTAGATTGCCCCCCTCCAATTGGTTGGCCACTGTGTCATTCCTCAGATTTGCTGGCATAGCTTGTTTAGAACCTTGACTGATTCTTCTTCTGTTGCCTGCTATATTTCAGTGGGTATGCCATCAATTCCTGTAGCCTTCTGACTTGGTAATGACTAGAATGCTGATCTAACTTCATCTTTTAGTACTAGAGGTTCTTGTAAGTAGGGAATCTCTTCTCAGATATCTTGGATGTTGACACTTCTACTGTACAGTGTTTCAATATACTCCTTCCATGGCTGGTGTGGGTCTTCCGGGCTGTGTGGCCGTGTTCTGGAAGTTTTGTTTCCTAACGTTTCGCCAGCACCTGTGACTGGCATCTTCAGAGTGCAGGAGCACAGACAGGAGCTCTCTATAAATACCCACAAAAAGGGTCACATCACCCT